AAATTCATTTCTTATATTTACGAGATTCATTAAAATAGTACGTAGACAATGCTTCTCATCGTCATATAATTATTACAAGATTATAGATCAACACATTTTGTAAACATAAACATTTATTTTGTCGAAGTGTGAAGTTTCATTCCATTTGATTAGATAGAACTCATGTTAGCCAATTTTTAAAGCAACATGTTTTGTTACCACGGAGCACGGTTAACCAACATTGTAACGTCAAAGACAACGTTGAGAAAGTTTGTCAAAATTATTCTAATTTTCTTAATTCAAAACACAGTTTGTAGCGTCTTCTCCATTCAAAAAAACATATCCATAACACTTAACACCTAGTTTGCGAACAATTGTACAAATATAGCTTGAATAAGAATGTCAAGCTTTTCAAATTCTTTAATTTACCATATGTAAATCTATTAATTATGCAACAGTGAAGCACACATCACGTTCAATGACGTTCCTAACTATTTCGACAATATTTTAACTTTAACCTGTTTCTTTGCAGACAATCCATCCTCCGATTCAAACTCGCTACCACTCAAAATTTGTATTTTCCTTTAATACAACTACACAGATTACTTTTCCATACAGATCCTGGTTTATTAAGATTTTTTGGGCTTGTAGAAGATGTTTCCCGAATGTTAAGTGCAATTTTATTGCTACTTGCTGCTCCGTGACGTCCTTCCACGTCATGGTTTTTTGCTTTTTTTAATCAAGTCCATATGTATTTAGAAACTGATATCTTTTAAATGGAGCGGCATATTACATAACCTGATTTCATTTTAATCAATACAGCAATACTTTATTTAAATCTGTAAATTTTATTTCGTTTTAGCTCCATTTATTAGAGGTATTACTGTAAATACTATAAAGTGGAAATTAGTAAATAACTCAATTTTGACGGTGCTCCGTGACCCCATTTTTGCTGTTCTAAATCCTTGATAATTTAAATAAATATGAAGATACATTCCAATTCTTTTATTCAAATTATTTGAATCTGTTGTTAAAATATTTGTACCAAATTTGGATATAATATGACGTTAAATAAAAAAGTTAGGACAAAAGTCTACGAACTTTTTGGATGACCCTCGTACATTATTTTTCTGATGACTTTCTAAGAATTTACGCCGTTTAACTGTCATTTTTAAAACAAAACAGTGTGCACTATATTTTTTGACTTTTTGACGTCAAGAGCGATATTATGACGTAACAATGCAGACAATCATGCTTATTCGTGATACATACCTAATGTAGTTCATGAGAAAATATACTGCATTTTATTTTGTAAAGAATCAGAGGGGAAACTTGTTGGAAATGTAAATATAATAGAATGTTTCAAGGGTACAGATATAGGGCATAAAAATATCGTTTTATTCAATTTAATTTTCTTTTCCTTTTTCACTTACACAAAGGAGTGTACAGGTAAAACATGTGTAGGTGTTGTCTGCCTGTATCCATTGATGTGTTCATAAAGAAAATATAAAACGTTACTCTCTTTTGACTCATTCGAACTTGTATTAAATAAATAACAAGAAAGCAATAGCGAAATTTTAATATTTCCCATTTGGGTTGCCAACATCGCCCCATGTATTTGGTTCCGTAACCTCGGTTACGATTGTAACCAGTAACTAGCTGTTGTTGCTTATAATTGAAAAGTGTAGTATTGCCATGGCCATTATTCGCCATTAAACTTTAAGAAATTTATATATGTGTGGTTTTCTCTAATAATTGATCTAGGGACAGGCCCATTTTATGCCGAAAGTAAGCCTAGCTCTTTCTTTTAAACTTTTCTTCAGTTTAAGTAAAATTTAATGAATTTTAAAGGACACGTTTTTACTTTACTTCTTTTTGAACATGTATTCACTGTTGACGTAAGTAGTGTACTTTGAATTCTTACAAATATAATCTTCAAGTTAAAAAAAAATGTATATATAATTTTACATTACAAAATCCACGTTATATCCAGATTTACTAGAAAACACGTGCTCTTGAGTGTTTATTTCAACATTGGTAGGTTGTACAACTTGTAGGAGCGACCAGAAGGCTATTTTGTGTCTTAAATGGCTATTTGTGGAATCATTTAAGCCGCACCTATGGAACATATGGTTGACATTTGAAGGATGATATCATGCGTTTTAAATACACGTATTATTTTTTAAAGATAATCAAAGAACTCAGAATTACAGTGTCATGAAGGTCTTTTGGATTTTGTGCAGGTAGTAGAGAAAACGATAAGCCGTAGAATAAACAAAGCAAAATAAATTTATTTTTAAAAAAAACAAAATAAGATATTATCCAAACAAACTCACTCTCACACACCCTTTCTCACAAAGAAAACAAAATATAACTTTAAATTGAAAACCAGATAATATTGACAGTGAAATAAAGATTTAACTTTAAACACAATCAATGTCAATGAGCAGTTATAGGTTTCAAACAATAAATTGCAACTTTATATGAAAAATATCAAATACAAAATCAAAACTGTATTAAGGTAGGATTCTTCTCATATTTCTTGTATTTAAAAGTTTATGAAATTTTCACAGAATCAAGAAGACAATATCAGTAAGTGATAGTATCAGTAAGATTTAATTTGACCTTTTTTATATTAGAGGCAAGGTCAGGTCAAGGTCATTATCTTTTTTCTTGACATTATGAATAAAAAAATGCTGTTGCCAATCATGTGATGGCTACATCTATTTCAAAAGTTTAAAGATTGTTCTTTTTGCATAAAAAAGATAGTACTATATCGTGTCTATAACATGATATTACTAAATTTACATAAATAATTTCACTAAACTTGATATTGGCTACTCCGAATTTCCTTTGTTTTTCTTAATTTTTTAGTATATATTAGTTATTTTTATATGCTTCTTATATTTAACTTTTTCTTATTTTCACATATAACAAAGTAGTCTAATAAATGTACAAAATGATACAAAAACAAAAAGTTTTGATCGTTTACTAAGAAAGAAAAAAATACTTTTTTATGGATTTTTGGTTCAAATCTGTATTTTGATTGGAAGTGTTTAAAAGCTAACATTATTCTCGTTTGTTTTGAAAATCATATTTATTTGATATATTTTGAAAGTTATGTCTCTTATTATTAATCTTACTTACATTTGAAATTTCTTCAAGTCTTTAATATGTGTAAAATTTATAATTAAATTCATTGTTCTGTTATAATTTTGAGAGGCAGAAAAGAAGATATTTTCATACGCCACCATTCCGCCAAAAATATAGTCCCTGCCAGTTTTCAAACACATTTACCATTTCTATTTAAAGTTGTACAATTGTGATGAGGAAAGAAAAATATGGTCTTTTAAATCCCTTACACCTAAATGTATAAGACATATAAGCAAATAAACTTTGAATGTTTCATCTAGTCAGAAACCAGAGAAGAATCCTACCTTAAGTTAGTTTTCGCAGGGAAAAAAATCACTTTTTTAAAACCAAGATATGAAAATATGAAATTCATTAAATGTCAAATTTAATTTTTATTAATGCTTTTATTTCTTAAAACCAGAATTGAGAGTTTGACTTTTGGCTATTTTATTCCTTAGAATTTACACCATCGGGCCTCCATACATCGAACACCGCCCCTCTAATTCCAGCCCCGGACTCACAGGTCTCCCACTGGAAATCTGTAGAATTCAGTCCCTATTATTCAGTCGGGAACGTCACTTAATTTATATGGACACTGTTCTTGCGAACCAGTACCACGCCCTACGTCAACCATGTACTCGTGCCGCGCCCTCGCCACGACCAAACTCCCCCTTGGGTCCAGAAACTTTCTGCCGCCCAGGTTTATAATCATTACCCCTCCGCACTGAAACAATAAATACTTTATCTAAGACCTAAACACTACTCACTTAAACTACAAATGATAACCGACACCAAATTCGTAAATTTACAACAAAGCCCACAAAATATCTAAAAAGAAAATAGCTTACTGGCTGGAGAAAGAAATGTCCATGCAGTAAAATAAACGACTTCTAGGCTACCCGTTCACCAGACTAACTTCTGGAATTCGCCGTAGAAAATCTACTACAGCACCAAAATTAAAACGTGGCCGAACACTTGACAAACAGCCACGACTCTCTCTGACCAAACAGGTTATACTAAAAATAGCTCTGTAAGCGAACACTCTTTCACTCTATGGAACCCAACTAGGGATATAATTACAACTGTTTACAAAATAACAATGCAAATAAACAACATAACTCAACTTCATCACACACGCCCCAATTTAACTACAGTAAGAACTACATTTTTGCACGTAACTTTAAAATGGCGACTATGGAGTGGACATCCTGTCTTCAACAGGATAACATAAGCCGGCAATTGCTCATTGCAACCATACCTATGGAACATATGTTTCACATTTGAAGGATGAGATCATGCATTCAAAATACAACTACTTTTTTTAAAAATAAAAATAGATATTGTGTTATTTCACCCCTTTTCGGGTCTTTTTGTTTGAGATGAGATGATTTTATGGCATACTGTGCCAAATATGAGCTCCCTATCAATGTCACTTAATGGACAGCTAGACGGAAATGTTTTATTCTGGGACAAATATATTTCATTGTGGTGTTGAACTGTACAAGCAAGGGTGTAAATAATCTATTATTAAGGTTTAAAAGTAATCAAATGTTTACTACTGAAAAGGCTCATTCTCACTCATATTTCCCTAATGCTTCATCTCGATCGATAATATTCAGTTACATTCGTCAAAAAACGTCATTTTTCGATTGCTTTCTAAGATTTATTTTTAGCAGAAAACAAGAAACAGGTGTTTCATAATGGAAACATAAGAGCACTTATTGATTAACATGCTATATATTTTTAAACATTTAACTCTAAACATACAGAAAATGTAATTCAAAATGTTGCAAATATAATGATATTGTATAGCATTTCCTTTTTAAGCTATGGGAAATATAAGGAGGTAGGGTTGGGGATGCTGTTCATTGACTGTTCATCAGGCTGAAGGACATGATGAGATATCTCTGCATTTACTTGATTGTGAGTAAAAAATCGATTCCCTATTTCTTTTATTTCTTTTCGATTTCTTTAAGCGTATCTTATGGATGTTTAAGGGTTTTAGAATCAGATTTGAAAAAAAGCTCTGTGCACAAGTTAAGTTTAAATATCTCTGTTAAACATAGGCTATTGATGACTTATGATGTGTTAATGGTGACTAAATTTTGACTTTAAGTCATCTTTAAGCAACCTAAATGTGTTTAATCCTGAAGTACTGCTACATTTTGAGTAAATATTAAACCCACACATTTATGAAGTCATTATTTACACTGCTGCTTTTAAACCAAATTACTGATATTCTCTCTATTTAATCGAATTTTTGTCAATAAATTGATTCATTTTTAGAAATCAATGTTTTTAGATCAGAAGTGTGCTCTTATATATCAAATCAGCTTTTAACAAATAAATGCTAATGTTATAATCATGCAATCGCTTTTTATCATATAATGCTTGAAATGAATAAATGTGTCACATTTTTTTTTCAATAATAACAATATCTGAATGTAGAAAAATAAAAAAAAACAGCTTGAATTGGCTGTACGTATTGATTGTCATCTCTCACGAGAGATAACACATTAAGTTTGATTCCGAATGTGAAGTCTCAGTGAAAGCAGCCATTTATCAATCGGCATTCCTCGGCTGACTCCACTATGCTCCTTACAAAAAGTGCGAGACCACCCGAGTATCACCACTGGTCAGTTTGATGATGATGCGATTTTTCTAAATATAGATTGGGATGTAAACAATACTATTGAGAAAGAAAACGAGCTGCACAGAAATCATAGAGAGTCCGACACACATCGCCTGGGTTTGGGGGTTCTTTAAAATATACACTATATGTTCTCATGTATACTTCTCTTGGCTATTATGTAAATGATGGGCAAAACTCGATAGATTCTTCTGACTACGTCAGCGCGTTTGTAAATTTAAGATCCTCTACGACCGACGCGTGGATCCAAGAATTCATCAAATTTAAAAAATAAAAGTAATCGCGTTAATTGATATGGGTTAATGGTGAAAACTTTAATTTTTTGGTTCATAAGTCATTCTATAAAATTGCTGTCGTTTTTTTTTAATAATACAAATCTGATTAAGCGATCGAATGTATTAAGAATAAGAAACTTCAGAAATTAAAAGCACATGTTATAAGCTGATACATTGATAAATGTCAGTACTAATGTCCATAATAAACAGACATTGGAAGATTAAAGATCACAAAGAATCATTATGAGTATTTTCTATATGCAGTTTTAATTGCATTAATGGCAAGAAAGACTTCGAATAATTTCTCCTATATTATTGAAATGAAGCCAAATTTAAAATAATGCTGAATTGTTTAAGGTTAGAATGCAGAAAAAGTTTACTAAAGCACATAAATATAATACTCGTATATACGCACTGCACGTGAATTTTGAGGATCACTAATGACACAATACTGTATATTCCGAAAACAGTAGTAAGTTTGGAGTTTCCAAATGAGGACTTTTTCCAGATAGTTTGTATATACTAATTTTAGTTGATAGCATTCAAATATGTTATAAATTACATAATTTTAAAAGCATGTGTACTTTATTTCTTGGATAAGCTAAGTGTGTAAAAGTAGGTTTCATATTTTAAGGCCGAGTAAACATTGGATTGCAATTCTAGATTGAAATTCATTTTCAATCCACCTCAGCTACGCTAAAAGGCAAATTCTTACTGATTGACCCAGAAAGAAGACAAATAATTTCAATATCAGTATAATTTGAAATAATATATATATCAGAATTTTCTTTTCAGCCTTTAAAAGAAATATATGTATGGGCCAATATTTGTTTTCTGTTTGTTATAAATTATATATTTGTGCGGGGAGGAGGTTAATGATCTTGGAAGTAAATAAGAAAGTTGTCAAACATTTTTTCATTGAAGACAGAGCTTAAGAAGCTCTTGTCATCCTACAAAAATAATTGGTACAAAGCATGACCTGACTCAACAATTTTTGACACCCCCCCCCCCCTTGTATGAAATGGCCATCTCCTGAAAAATGTCTTCTGTGACTTTTACCAGTGTCCTTAAGATTGTATTATAGGGTTAGGCTCAAGTCAATAAACATTTCAACCAACATCAAAAAAGTTTTTTAAAAACATTATTTTAGTATATTTCAGTTTGAAATGTTTTAGCAACATATGAATCATGATATTATTAATTTTTAAAATAATTAAGAAAATCAGATAGATCTACAAATCTGTGCCCTAGCTCTTTAAACCTTGTACTGTTGTAATTATTCACTGCAAGCCCCCTCCCTTATCCACACTGTTTGTTGGTATATAGTCATTTATTCCCCCCCCCCCCTCAAAAAAAATTGTTTAAATATTTCCTAATTTACCTTCCATCCACAACATAGGATTTTGGAGTTTGATCATTACTCTTTTGTTTCATATTCTAAAATTGTTTAGGTAAACTGCCACTCTCCTTCTCTAGGGGAATAGAAAAAAAATGTAATAGCTGAGATAAAAGTTACACTTCACTGGTTATTCAATGACATTAATGAAGCATAGAGATGAAATTTCAGGCTTTCTGGAAAGCCAAACTTGTAATACATAAGATTTGTTTGAAATTCAGTTTCTTATACCTTGGATGAGGATAAAAGTATCAAATCCTGTAAAGATTAAAACATGAAACAAACGTGAATGGACAAAACTAAAGATATGGTCATCAAAACATTTATCAATATTCTACGGTTCAGTTGAAGTTAAATCACTTAGACCTTAGCTAAAACAGTAGTTAGGCACATTTGTACGGGACAAACTGAAATGAGAGAATCACATCCCCTCCAAATCTCAAATGCTAAACAATCAATATCACTATAGATTATGAGCTTTTAAATACGTGTAGCTATTAATAACATGTCCTCTTTAACAAAAAAAAATGCTCAGAGCTGTTTTTTACCGATATTTAATAGCATTCCAACATACATGAACATAACATAATGTATAACAAAGATTCTGTGAAAGTTTCATTAAATTTCATTTAGTAGTATAAGAGAAGTTGCGTTTAAGATAGAGGTCTCCCAAAGCATAACAGACGGACGGACAGACATACGGACATCCTTTTATACTTTTCTTCTTATATGAATAGTGTGTAATTAATATTTTTATCCAAAGCACACACATACACACACACACCCTCTCACCCTCACTCATACACCATAATGTCTAACCCACATACTAAACAAATCGGAAGTTCTTCCGTTTCTTTGTTTACAGCATGATGCACTCAACGGGTTATAAAAATAAACCAGTGTAAAGACGAATAATGACCCCTATCGAATAATGACCGGGGGTCATTTTTCAACGACAAGAAACCTGAAATTTTTTTTTTACTTACCATGGTACCTAAAAAAAGTTGAAAAAAACCCAGAACTCGAAAATCCTATTTCGTGTGTGTGTGTGTATTGGGGGGGGGGGGGGGGGGCTGGCCAACTTCTTCAATGCCAACTTCCTTTCACTTCTAATTGTTTCCTATCTATCAATATACTGTGGTAAAAAGTTGGGGGGGCAACTATCTTTTCAATGGACATTTTTCAATAGTAAAGGTAATGTTGGGGAAAAAAGTAGGGGGCAGCCCCCCCGGCCCCTCCTGTTGCTACGTACCTGATGATTAAAGCATTGTGGCAACGCACTTTGAAAAAATTACGCACTTTGAAAAAAAAATTTCAAAGTGCGTTGAAATTGAGACATACTCAACGCACTTTGAAAATTTTTTTGAAAGTGCGTAAAAAGTTTACATCAATATATTTTTCCATGGATACACTTAACGCACTTTGAAAAAAAAATATGTAAAAACAAAAATTCTGGTTTTAGATTTTAGTATTGGAAAGATTCTATTTCAGTGTTATTTATCTTTGAGTAAACTTATGAACTGATTTACTCCTGTCGAGAAGAGGAGAAGACGGGTAGAAGATCTCTCAGATTAACTCTTTCTCTTTCAATACAAAAGCGTCGGTAACAAATAAAACGGGGAGGGGAGTAATAAACCCACAAAAGGGTAAGCTGCATTTTCCATGCCTATATGATGCATATCTTTCAAAAATAAGTGGGGAGGGGGAGGGCTAAGCCTACCTACCCTTGCCCTTCGCCCGGTTATGATGCCTATGCTATAGCTAAACAATGGATATGTATTTACATTACCGGTATGACGTTGAAAACTATCAATAACTAAATTAACTTAAAACAGTTGAAACCTAGAATTTTATAAGTAAAGCGTATGAGAGAGAAAGAATTTTCATAGTCTTGGAAAATCAAATTGCCCCTTTTTCTTAATTAAGATAAATGCTTTTCCTTAAGTCGTTCACTTTTAGACCCCCCCCCCCTCCAACACATACACTTCTACTTATTACATACTAGAAATTTTAAAAAGAAACGAAATAATGATATTAAACAATCATCTCTCTCTATTTCCCTTTTACAATATTTATCAAAACCTAAACTATTTAAAACATCAATATCTCAGGTCCTGAAGTAAGCTTATCACCAAAAAGTTATCCAACAAGTGTTAATTATTTATTATGCCAATAATTTGTAAATATATTGAACAAGCTTTACAATTTTTTTCAAAGTGCGTTAATATGGTCAATATTAACGCACTTTAAAAAGAAATTATTTTTTTCAAAGTGCGTAAGCTTGGTCCCAAATTTAACGCACTTGGAAAATTTTTTTTCAGAGTGCGTAATTTTTCAAAGTGCGTTGTAACAAAGCATACGTTAAATGTTGGTGGGGGTATACTTGAAAGTATTGTGGCAAAGTAACAGTTGAAAATTAATAGACTAGTAGATTATTTTAAGCTTAGTTTTAGTCCTTCCTTATAGAAAAATAAAAGTAGGGTAGTTTTTCATGTTGCTTTTGTTGATAATCGACTTCCTCCTAAATAAGTAAGGGGGTGGGTGGGTATAACACCTAAAAATATGCTCTGTAAAGCTATGGGCCAGTGTAAAATACACAATCTAATGCAAAAACTATACATGTAGACATAACCTTTTGATTTTGCACACAATATTCATTAAATTTCTTAATTCTTGTTTTACTCCACAATTTTACCCAGTTATGAGTATTTTTTTAAGAGAATTCAATATGAAAATCAGAACAAACATTTTCATTTTTTGTAACGTGTTCTTTAGACTGTGTCATAATATGAAAAGTTAATTGAAGACCATTCCTTTTTATGTTCCTGTAATCGAAGATTCGTGGGTATACAGTTTTATCGTGTCCGTAGGTATGTCTGTCTGTCTATCTGGCGGTCTGTTTCTCTGCAAAAATTTAACCTTTACCATAACTTTTCATTTATTGTATCTATGTCTTTCATATTCAATATGTGTACATTCCTTGTTACAAGACCGTACTTTGGGTACCACCAAATTTGACCTTTTGACCTTTACCTTGGAGTTTGTCCCATTTTACACAAAAATTCCAAATTTTTAATTTACTTTAACTTTTAAACGGTAGAAACTAATACTCTCATACTTCACAAATGTAATCCTTGTTACATTAAACCTTTCTTAAGAAACCATCAACTTTGACCCTTTGACCTTTGAGTTTGACCTATCTTTCAAACACTTATCCTTAACCATTAATTTTTAACAAGTGGTGCTAGGGCTTTCCTATTTTGCAATTGTATTTTTTGTGAAAAGACCCTACTTTGGGTACCATTATATTTTAATTGCCTTTAAGAAAAGTTTAGTCTTCGTTATGTTGCCATACAGGGGTATAGCTGTTTTACAAATACATCTTTTTATATACAAGAGGAGTTGCGGATAACAGATGGATACCCCAAAGCGTAACAGACGGACGGACACCCCAATCACTATATACTCTCCTGCTTTTCAAGCGGAGGATATGATAATATATGATACTGCTGATTTTTAGCTCTACTGGTCAGAGACCAGAAGAGCTTATGCGATAGTAATGCGTCCGTCGTCCGTCTGTCTGTCTGTCCGTCTGTCTGTCTGTCTGTCTGTCTGTCTGTCTGTCTGTAAACAATTTTTCAATATGCTACTCCTCCTACAGTTTTGGTCCGATTTCAATATAACTTGGCACACAAGTAGACTACACTAAGATACATAATTCTGTGCATCGGTTTTTGATTTCGATGAACGGTGTTGCCCTGGTTACTAAAAATAGAAATTTCTGTGAAATTCTTTCAAAATGCTACTCCTCCTACAGTTTTGGTCCGATTTCAATATAACTTGGCACACAAGTAGACTACACTAAGATACATAATTCTGTGCATCGGTTTTTGATTTCGATGAACAGTGTTGCCGTGGTTACTATAAATAGAAATTTCTGTGAAATTCTTTCAAAATGCTACTCCTCCTACAGTTTTGGTTTGATTTCAATATAACTTGGCACACAAGTAGACTACACTAAGATACATAACTCTGTGCATCGGTTTTTGATTTCGATGAACGGTGTTGCCGTGGTTACTAAAAATAGAAATTTCTGTGAAATTCCTTTCGAAATGCTACTCCTCCTACAGTTTTGATCCGATTTCAATATAACTTGGCACACAAGTAGACTACACTAAGATACATAATTCTATGCATCGGTTTTTGATTTCGATGAACGATGTTGCCTTGGCTACTAAAAATAGAAATTTCTGTGAAATTCTTTCGAAATGCTACTCCTCCTACAGTTTTAATTCGATTTCAATATAACTTGGCACACAAGTTGACTACACTAAGATACATAATTCTGTGCATCGATTTTTTATTTCAATGAACGGTGTTGCCATGGTAACTAAAAATAGAAGTTTCTGAGAAATTCTTTTAAAATGCTTCTCCTACAGTTTTGGTCCGATTACAATATAATTTTGCACACAAGTAGGCTATACTAAGATACATAATTCTGTGCATCGGTTTTTATTTTGATGAGTGGCAAGGATCATTTTTCTATTTACTGCTGTTTTTAAGTTTCAAGTCCCAACTGCTACTTTTCTCTTCCTTTGTTTACAGTATAAACCAGTAGAGCTACAGTCTCGACAGAGACTTCTGGTTTCTGTCAGTACGATGATTTCCAACATCGAAAAACAATGTTTACCTAACCCTTTAGGCTCGATAAATCTTTACACCTTTAGATTCTGAATCATCGCATTGACCTAAAAACATAGCTATAACTGTATGTTATGAGATCAACATATCATCGATTTATTCCAAATACATCAGGTGAGCATTTTGGACAATATGCTTCTTTATGTAATTATTTTGCCCCCTAAAAAATTCAGCTTTAATCAACAGGGAGTCATTTTTCTTTACGGGGGTTCTGCAAATTTTTAGGGTGGTGTCACTTTTTCTACGAGCAAAAGGGTCATTTTTCTACGTCAAATAATGACCGGGGGTCATTTATCGCTGTCGAAAAATGACCCACGGTCAATATTCGGAGGGTGGATTTATGATGAAAGGTTCCCCAGGAAAAATAATTTTGCACGCATGCAGCTTTGTTTTAAAACACAATGCAAAACGCAGTGTAGCGTAGTTAGATAAAGACTTGAAAAGATATATTATGGCGTTGAAGTTCATCCCAAATTCGGTAATAATTTTATGAAATATTGAAAAATAAAAGTATTTGGGTATTCAGTCGTAATTTATTCTTAAGGAGGGACAAGACCTTGAGCTGAAAACAATCCTTTCAATGATTTTTTTCGTATTTTTATATGAGTAATTTAATGTACTTTACATTTTTAAACGGTCCTATCATGGGATTTCTTGACTTATTGAAAAGATATTGCCTCATAAATAGTGTTTGTATGGTATTTCGATACTTCATATTTACGTCTTCATTACTGAGCTCACAATGAAAATTTTTATGCACAAATAACAAATATGTTAGATAATACTATATACCCAAATATTTCAGATTATACATAGTGTTTAAATTATCTGAAAGCAATTGTTTTAATTTCAAATAGTATTTGGGTGGTATTATTTCTGCATTTTTCAGAGGCAGCTTCAACGACAATGACCTCATTTTGTAAACAATTCTGTCAATAAATAATGCTAAATTTACGATTGAAAGTCAGTCCTTCATCGTAATCAATAACTGCATAAATATCGCAGGGTGAAGCGTACCTCAATATCGCACAGGGCATCGTTGAATTAGACGTAAGTATGAAAAAAAAACTTCACATTTGCATTTTCCGAGTGCAGGAAATCAATTGTAACGTCACACGAAAACTTAACTCGTAAAATTATCTAAATAGAGAGAATCTCTGCATCCTATTTCTTATGGTTTTAGACAACAAAGCTGAAATCTTTTGTCAGTTGATTTTACACTCTATGAATCCTCTATGGATTGTTAAGAGGGAATTCTACGCATACCTCTGTTAATCTTTGATAGAATGATTTTGTTATATTACGTGTGAAGCTTTTGCACTCTTCAAAATTGACTTGTAGGTAGTATCTCTGTATTTTCTCAATGTGATTCACCAACATGTATTTTTGGGTTTTATAGATACAGTTGTTTTAGCATAATTTTGTATATTACAGATTAAATAACAATGTTGTTTAAAGCAGTTTTTGAATTGCAATTTTATATACAAATTTTTTATCTGATTTCAAATTATCTCAGAAGCTGAGTGCATACTTATTTTGAATTCATTCACATATTTCTTTTTTATAAACGCAGAAAATTGAAATGTTCTTATTTGAATTAATTGCTTTACTTTATAGCAAGGTATTTGTATTTTCAATAACTACATGACTGGATAAATTAGAGTGTCTGATTTTTTTTGTACTGCTGTTTTGCTGTACTATAAGAGGGATACATATATATTTGGAAGAAAGAGTACAATAGCCTTCTCTTTTGAAACAACACACGTTATTATGTTATCATGATATGATAATTACTTCAATGGTAGATCATAGAAACCTCATAATTGCAATAGGATTTGGCAATAGCTGCGTGTATTATGTTCTTTTGATGTTTTTTTTCTTTTTTGCTTGAGTGGTATATGAATTTCTGTTTTCATTTGTTACATATCCAATGATTGTTGTAGAACGTGCAAGACCTAATTATTTGATATCTGCAATTCTGCATTTAAGTCAAATATTGTAGGTGTAACAGTTTAAATTGGCAAGTACTTAGATATTGAGATATTGGAGATAAACTATAATTTCTCTGAAAATTTATCTTGTGAAATAAGAAAATGATTATCTGGAAATATTTACTCGAAAGGGTTTTATACCTTGATTTTGAATTTAATCCATTACTATATTCCATATTATCATCTTTTTAAAAAAAGAATATCATTGATAAACAATAAAGCAAGATCTCATATGATTTCGCCATGATATTGAAATTATAAATTTTGAATGATTTTCAGTTGCATGTAATCCGTCTTCAATGAAAAGTATGTTTAAGGTTATATCTACTTGTATAAGTCATATTCGTTGTATTTCGTTTGTTTTATGATAGAATAACTAAGAAGAAAATATTTCTTTTTAGATCATTTCAGCATCAACTGCACAAGGTAATGTATTATTATTTGCAAAAACGTAACGCAGCAAACTTTCAACTACTTTCTAAATTGAAATAAGTCTGTTACAGGTGTCATTAAATTTAACACTGTCTTGACATTATAATCTATTGAATGTACATGTATTTGTCAAATCCGTTCCTGTTTTACCGCGTATACTAGTATACGATAATGAGCAGTTAGAAAATAAATTGTATATTAAAAATGGGATGAATTTGACGGCTTCTCTTATATATGTAGAAATCTCTTAACATCACTTGCACGTTTCACTTAGACTTTCCAAAGGGACACTACATATATAAGCAAGAACATTACCCAAAAACGATTTATTTCATCGATGCAAGTTACTGACAAATCGGTTAAGGTTGCAAGGATTTCAACAATCACAAGTCTGCTTGTTCGTTGAAATGACCTTGTTTTGTAAATACAATCTGTCATTGGCTGGTAGACTCGTATTCGGCACGCCAAATTCACAAAAATAAGCTAAACATAGTTTCACCATTCACAAACTATGTTTATCGACTGTTAACTATAGTTTACAAACCGTAAACTATAGTTTACAAACCTTAAACTATAGTTTTCATCTGCAAAACTGTATTTAACGGTTGTTAACTATAGTTTACGAATGCTAATCTAAGTTTATCTGTCTGTAATTAACCGTTAACAATATATTTTGTTGACTAACATAGATTACATGTAACTACGCCAATTTGTAGTAACTGTGAATTAACTGACTTTCTGCAATAGGCTTTGACGTTACACATTTTGAAAGTCTGTTTAAAATGTACTTAATGAAGAAATAAACAAATTGTACTCAAAGTTTCTTCAAGCAATCTATATTTAACTATATTTAACTATAGTGCTACGTAAATTTTACCTACCAAAAAAATGTGATTATATATTATTACCGGCCGCCAGGAGGCGGTCGGTTATATGATATGAAAGTTTGAAGTCGTTGTGCGTTTCTGCGGAGTTAAAGAAAATAGTCTAAATTAAAAAAATATATTTTTTAACATCCATATAATAGAATATTAAAACAATGTTTAACAAAATACGCGCAATAATCATAAAATTAAAATTTTGTAAACATGGGGTAAATATTTTATCCAGTCCTGATTGACAAAATCTAACATAACTGAGGTGCGGAGACCAAAATAAGCACACGTGTTGGGCATGGTCTAAAGCGAAGACCGCGTTTTACGTACAGTATACAAGTGTAAACAATATTACCTCTCTATTTTAATAGGATTTGTTGAATATATTTTAAAATGCCGTGTACAGATATATACATGTATTTCCGAAAGAAAATTAATTTACAAATGATTAAATGACAATTCATTATCAGTCAGAATATTACGAGATTTTGCCCCAACAGACAAGGATAAAGCACATTTGACAGTATGCCAAGTTTTTTTCCCGCCACATCTCACACCAAAGACAAGAAATGTAGTAGCAGATCTAGAGGGAGTTGGGGAGGGGGGGGGGTAACATCCTCTAATAGCGAGCGAAGAGCCCCACATATTTGTTGCATTTTTATTAAAGTAAAACTATATATTTCTATGGTTCAGATAAGTTTAAACTTTAGTTTTCATCTTTAAACTACTTTAAAAACATCAAACTTCCGACAGAGTTGGTTTACATACCAAACTGTGCACGGAGACGCAGGGGACTATGAGTTAGTAGTTTGCTTATACATGTAGTAATGTACATGTATTATGTATGGAAGAAAATCCCGTAATGTCACATGCAAATGTTCAATGTCATAGGGATATATATTTTAATTAACAGATAAATACAAGATATTTTAATTATAACGCATCAAACGTTCCAGTTCCTGCTTGCTTCATTGAAAGGATCAATTGGTTTGCGGCCGATTTTTGACGCTTGCGTCAATATTTGTCTCTTGTTGATTCTTTTGCGTGAAATACATACTTGTATTGGATACATGTTAGTACAAAAATTGAAATATTTTAATAATGATTTGGTATCCCCAGTTGAAAAGATGACTACAACAAAACCACCAGAGCCGCAGGAAGAACTTAAGAGATTCTGTCAAATATTGCTACAAACACACTTCTCGTAAATAAACGAAAGGAACACCATTAACATGTTAAAATCTTTTTTGCATGTAAAAAAGTTTTTCTGAGACTCGTGAGTCTAAGTGTAAATATCTTTGTTTCACAGAATGCACCAAACTAGTAGCTGATATAATATTTGCCATTGATCAATCGAACAGCATCGAATCGGAGAAAAAATTCAAATTGGAACTGGATTTCGTGGTGAAGGTGATGAAGAACTTTGATGTTGGTCCAGACGAGACGAGAGTTGGAGCCGTCGTGTTCAGTGACGAGGCGGACCGTGTTCTAGAACTTAAAGATGGAATGTCCAAGGACGACGTTATTCAGCGAATTCATGGCATTAGATGGGACCGGGGTAATACTTTTATAGACAAAGCTTTTGTAAAGATGGGGGAAGGATTCTCGACAGAAAATGGCGGCCGCCCTAATCAAGTTCCTCAGATAGCGGTGCTTGTTACAGATGGAGTGGCAACGAATCCTTACAGAGCTCTAAAGGAGGCCAATAAATTGAAAAACAATGGAGTAGAGATCTTCACCATTGGTAAAATCACCATAAATGTATTGTTAATCTTTAATTTTAGTGTGATTTTTATACAAACCTTTCTATGATTGTATGAATAATTATTCTGAAAGATTTATATTTTGAAGGTGTAAAGAGCGCTAGATTATCACAGTTGAACGAATTGTCCAGTGACCCTCCTTCCCAGCACGTGCTCAGTGTGGACAGCCTGGAAGTACTGTCGTCAATCGTCAGTACACTTTCAAATCGAGTGTGCAGCAGTATCAAAAGGAAACAGCCAAGATGAGGCTGCATTGGCAGTTTTATGTAATATGCATTTAATTATTATGAAATAAAAGCTATTGCCAATTCTATCCTTAAGCCAACTTTGACTTATTGAAACATTTGATAAGCTATTATCTTATGCTAATTTGTTTTCGATTATTTCCCTTCATTTGTCAAGTCATGACATTGAATATTTACTCCTTCGTGGCACCTTATCCCACCTTTGATGGTTTTAGAGGTCCATGTTTCCTCTGCTCCTAATTTTTGTTTGATTGATTTTTAATCTTGATTACTGTTCATTATCTTCAAATTGTATCAAATTCTAATGAAGTTATTCACTAACAAGAGAAAAGGTTCTGTCAAAAACCTATAGAGCTTCAAACAATTATTCGACAATTTTACAAAAAACATGTAGTATTTGGAGACCGGGGCTTTGTTCTAATATTTTCAAATTTTGTGGTCTCAATATTTCATGAAATATTCTAGAAGAATTCTACTTAATGCTCGTGAAAACAAACATTTACATAAAGAATTGAATAAATGGATACAGAAATTGATAGAAACCATTAAGTCATTCTTCTGTAACTCATGAACAATATCTGTAAACATTGTTGGAATTCTCACAGATCGTACTTGTAACCCTTATGAGGGTTTTTGAAGCAGAATCAATTACGAACATAAAAACATCTCTTGCTTGAACCTACAATTAGACTTTTAAATACATCGACGATGACTAAGTCGTTTTTTATCAATTTACCATTACTTATTTAATTCCTACAGGTATATGTCTATATGTCTCACTGAACCCAACTAAAAAACTTCACAGAGTCTGATGCATACAAATTTGAAAACTTTACTAGAGAGCAATTGATGGTAAACCATCAACAACTGAAAGACAATTGAGATTAATTCAACTTTTCTATCTTTTTTCCTTTCTGTCACATTTATAAACTTTAGTGATAGAATTACTCAAAGGAAAAGTTGGGCAGAATTCCAACCATTTTTAACGATATATACTGAAATTTCATCAAATACATCATTAAGTGAACTCTCTAAAACTTTTGTGTTCTAAAATTATCAACAAAAGGGGATTTTAATTATAGAGGATTCCAGGAATCAGCACAAAAGAATCTGCATTAATCTGATTGATCTACACTCCAAAAATTCTAAATTTCTCGAGTAATCAATGTTTAGATTGTGTAATGTTATAAATCAGTTGAAAATAAACTTTCTCAAATCTTGACATGACTTGACAGTTAAAAAGACAATTGTTTCGATAATGAATGACAGGCCTTATGCTATGAACTACTTAAATAAATATAAAAAAAAATTAAAAATGTGTCTGTCACCTGATTTGGACCTTATCTCAGAAATTAATGCCAGCTTTCAGTATGTATGCATCAGTTGCTCGATATACAAGAGCATGTTTCGAGTACAATCTTTTCATCAAGGCAGGATATTGACAAGTGTTGCTTTTACAATTGTATCAACAATGACTGTTTACAAGTAATATATTTACATTTCCAATGTCTTTGTCCAAGATAAAATTACAAAATGTAAATATACTTTATTTCCCCATCAATGTTTTGGCGCGGTTAAAAAAATCACGTGCAGGGCGGGACAAATAGCTAGACAGAAGCAGGGCTTTGAGCAGGCGGATTGGCGGAATCAAAACATTAAATAAAAGGAATAACTGTCAGATTTTTTCAATTTTATGACGAAGATTACGAAATCGAAAAATAAAACAGTTATTCCTTAAATCAATTACTGAGTACTTCGATAAAACATTAATGACGTTTTTGTTAAGTAAAGTTTTGAATCCATATTTCAGTACTTATCTTAATTCTATAAAATATGTCTATTGAGTTCTCCGCATCAAAACACAGGACCACGACTCTTTTATAATCTGTGTAATTTAATTATTTCAAATGGATAGTACATTAAATAATACAGTTGAACATTTACATTATTAACGAAAACTGAACGTCAAATGAAAAAAAAAATCGCACTATTTTTTGGTAATTATGTATTTTAAAGAAGAAAATCTTTGACAATAAGGAATCTAAAAGATATCATTACCTAAAACGAGAAACATTCAAATCTTCACAAATGTGCTGTTAAGTTATTTGAGATGCATTTCATGAAAGGATCATTCTATATTAAGCCGTTTTGCGGCCTACAATGACTTTAAATTTTCAGATTGTATTTTTCCCTTAAAAATTGCATTTATCACTAGGCTTATGTACCAATGTAATGATAAATAGTAATTATAATGGTTAATGATACAATAGTATTTTTAATGATAAAGGGTCACAAAGTAAGGTACAATCCGTCTGTAGTAGCATTAGAGTAATGGGAAATCTCAATAGGGTTGCTGTGACAGATAACTCCTACGCATGTCATATCCAGCTTTAACCAAAGCCAAAATTTGCATGTAAATTTCTTATAAACATAAAAAGTGTCTACCAAATTATGAATTTGGTTAAAGGTGATTAAAGGTGGTTATAACATCTAAATAAAAACTTTTCACTTCATTTTTACGATGTTTGCAGAAAAAGCTAACTAATCACTATGAAGGATATCAGATTATGAAGATTATTCCTTTTTATTAACTGTTGGTTAGAGTACAATTTTCTGTTGATTTATATAAGCCATGCATATTTACTTTTACAAAATGTGAACTTTTTATTTAAAAATCTAAAAATCAAAGGACTGAGAAGACTGGATGTCATGAAATTACAAGTGGAGACGTTTCTTTGAAATATCTGATAAAAATCAAGAAGGAAAAATATTTTTATAGGCTATAAAGGTAAATTCAATGAGTACTGTATATGTTCTAGGAATGATGAAAGCAATCTTGGTCGAAGCGGTAACATAAATTTATTATTTGTGTAAGGCCTATAGACTTTATTTCCTATGAGTACATACATAATTTTTATATGGACACTTCTGTACGAGTACCTGGGATATTGTAGAACTCTTAAGTCCGTAAACTAGTATCTACGAGAAAGTCAGAATCTGATATGCATATTTTAAGGAACTGTTAAAATTCTACTCCATTTTATGTTGCACCGTTAGACACGGGGGGGGGGGGGGGGGGGGCAAATGAAATTGAACAACCTTATATATATTGGATTCCGAAACTTCATAAGAATCCTTACAAACAAAGATACATTGCAGGTTCCAGTAAATGTTCAACCAACCCTCTCTCGTTGCTTCTCACTAAGATATAGACATTAGTGAAGGAAAAACTTCAATTATACTGTGCAGCTACATGTATATATTCAAGAAGTGGTGTGAATACTTACAAAATCTAAAGAACTTTTTGACGATTTGAAATCACAAGACTTTACAAAAATCAACAGCTTAAAAACTTTATGTACATGTATGAGAGGAGTTGCGGATAAGAGATGGGTACCCCAAAGCGTAACAGACGGACGGACATACCGATTACTATATAACCTCCCACTTTTCAAGCGGGGGGTATAAAAACATTATCGAAGTCTGTTTTCGATAAAAAAAAATTTAGGCATAGAGGAGAATATATCTGAATCCGAAGTCTGTTTTCGATAAAAACAATTTAGGTATAGAGGAGAATATATGAATTTTAAAACTTACTTAAATCAAAATTAATCTATTCCACAGAACAAAACTACTTTACTCCTTTACAGTAGATTCTGATTATCCCGAAATCTAACTTTAAGTCTTTAAAATAAATAAGACCCCGAAATGTTCTAAATAATTCTATACTTTTGTATTACTCCTTATATTTCAATCAACAATGGACTGATAGTTTGATGCCAGGAAAGATAATTGATAGTCTATTATTTCGCACATCAGTAATATACATATTTGTGATGAAATTAGTAACCTGTCTTATTATAAATTAAATCCTAATTTTATAATAAAATCAACTTTATATCGGAATGAAAATGTTTATCATTAATTCCTTTCCGAATTAGAATAAACTGTGTAGAAAAGATCTGGACAACAAACTCTATTTAAAAAAGCAAAATTAAATAAATTGAAATCAGTATAAATTTGCTTAGGTATTTAAAACTTTTCCTCAGAAGGAGACACTTAAGGATTTTTTGGCCCAAAGAATTTCTGAAAAATTGAATTCGCTCAGTTTAGGTTGCAAATGCAGACATTACCATTTAGACTGTTGGTTACCATGTGTATTAAGTATGACGTTACTTTCACTATAGTCAGTGTATTTCCTCAGTTACTGTAAATGATTTTTTTTAATATTTCATATATACAAACAACCCCTCATCCAAAATATTAAATTAAATAAAGAAAGAATTCTTCCGAAGATAAAAAAAAAAGTGTGTTATTGGGGATCACGGGCTGTGCTACTATTTTGATTCCTTGCTGAAGATAGTCATATACGCTATTGTCTGCAAGTTTTAAGATTGCTATTCCTGTTAGCCTGTTTTCCAATATATTGGTTCTAAAAAAGAAATTTTATGATAGGAAATGGAAGAAACTAGTATATTCTTAATTCTAATTGTATATGAAATGGAAAGAAGGTGATACTCAATTATTAATCTAGGGACAGGCCCATTTTATGCAGAAAGTAATCCTAGCTCTTTGTTGAAAACTTTTCATCAGAGGAAAGTTTAATTCAAGTTTGAAGGACACATGCTTATATTACCTCTTTTTATACATTTATTCACTGTTTACGAAAGTAGTGTTTTAGATATACTTTCGATTGTTACAAATATAATCTTCAAGTTAAATATATAATAATTTTACATCACAAGAGCCACGTATTATCTGAATTTTCTGAGAACATCGCGTGCTTTTTGAGTGTTTATCTCAATATTGGCAGATCTGGTAGGAGAAACCAGAAAGCTATTTTTCGTCCT